CGACTAAACTCAAACACTGCTTGAACTTAGCAATAGGAGGAGCCTCATAATAGCAGGATGGATCATCATCAACCTCCTGTGCGACTGAAAGAGCATAAGCAACCATATTGGTTTCATCGTCACTAGCGTACCTAGCAGGTTTCTTGATTGTCCTCCTAGGCCGGTCCATAGCAATGGAATACTCTCGTTGTGGCTCGACGAGAGGTGTGGGGCTAGTAGATGCATCATCTTTAGTATTACCATCAGCAGTAGTAATACTATCAATAGGCCTGAATTCAAACTCCACCTTCTCACCAGTACTCTGTGTCTCACCTGTACTGGGAACTTTTCCAGAAGAAAGTAGTGCATTTTCATCAAAAGTGATATCTCGACTCAGAATGATTTTCCGAGAATCAGGAGACCATAGACGATACCCTTTTGACTCAGAAGCATAACCAAGGAAAATGCATTTGACAGCTCTCGGGTTTAATTTACCCGTACTGGAATGAGCATAAGCAGGACATCCAAAAACTCTTAAGATAGAGTAATCAACAGGATTACCTGACCAAACTTCCTCTGGAATTTTGAAATCAAGGGATGAATGTGGAGATCTATTTACCAAATAGCAAGCAGTAGAAACGGCCTCGGCCCAAAAATCACGTCGTTTCCATAACCCAGCATTAGAGAGCATACAACACGCTCTTTCCAATAGAGTCCTGTTCAAACGTTCGGCAACACCATTCTGCTGGGGTTTACCAGGCAAGGTCTTGTGCCTGGCAATTCCATTTGCCGCACAAAAGTCATTGAAATCTGACTCACAGAACTCCAAGCCATTGTCTGTCCTGAGCTTCTTGACTTTTTTACCTGTCTGAGTCTCAACAAGTATTTTCCACTTCTTGAAAATAGAAAATGCCTGATTTTTATGTTTCAGGAAATAGACCCAGACTTTACGAGAAAAGTCATCAATAATAGACATAAAATATCTACAGCCTCCCATAGACTGGAATTTAGTTGGTCCCCATAAATCAGAATGTATATATTCCAATACATCTTTGGTACGGTGTGTAGCAGTAGAGAAACTAACCCTCTTTTGTTTCCCAAAAATACAATGCTCACAAAATTGTAATTTACCCGTACCTGAACCACCAAGGAGACCTTTCTTGCTCAGGAGATGCATGCCTTTCTCACTCATATGCCCCAGACGCATATGCCATAATTGAGTGAGATTCGCATCAGACATCGATGAGGATACCGCTACTGAACCTGTCACAGTACTGCCATGCAAGACATACAAGCTTCCAGAACGAGAAGCTTTCATGAGAACAGAAGAGCCTTTGATGACCTTTAGAACTCCACCTTCAGCTATGTACTTGCACCCCAGAGATTCCAAGGTGCCCAATGATATCAGATTGCGTTTCAAATCAGGAATATACCGAACATTGGTAAGAGTCCTGACAACGTTATCATGAGTTTTAATCTGAACACTTCCAATTCCACTAACCTTGCATTGGGTATCATTACCCAGCAAGACAACTCCACCATCAACCGGTTCTAGAGAGATGAACCAATCTTTGTGGGGACACATGTGGAATGTACAACCAGAGTCCAAAATCCACTCAGTTTCACTCCGTTTCTCACCGGAGCTAACAGATAACAACACATCACCATCTGAATCACTTTCAACAACACTAGCTTCAGCGGACTTCTTTTCTCTCTCTTGCTTGTTTTTCAACTTGAAGCATTCAGTCACATCATGACCATGCTTCTTGCAGTACTTGCAGGATTTGTTGGACTTACGTCCTTTGGACTTGGATCTAGAATTTTTATTGCTACTCCCTGATTCAAGTGACCGACCCCTTACGGTCAAGCCTTCACCTTTGTCCTCAGACTTAATTTCAAAGTCAAACTTTTCTTTGGACAATAGGTTCGACTTAACATTGTCGAAAGTAAGGGTATCACTACTATTACCATACAGCATAATTTCTTTGAAATGCGTGTAGGATCTAGGGAGAGAGACAAGCAATAAAACAGCACGATCCTCATCTTCAATTATAACATCAATATTTTCCAAGTCCAATAAAATAGAATTGAATTCATCCAAGTGAGATTTAATAGAAGTACCTTCCGTCATACGGATTGTGTACAGACGCTCCTTCAGGCGTAGCGTGTTCGCCAGAGTTTTGGCCATGTAAAGCGTATCCAGCTTGGACCATAAATCTGACGCAGTCGTCTCACTTAACACCTCACGTAGAACCTCTTTAGACAGGCACAAAAGAATGGTTGAACGTGCCTTGTCATCCAGATCTTCCCAGTCTACATCTGTCATTGTAGCCGGTTTCTTCTTCTTCCCAGCTAGCGCTTTCTTCAAACCGTTCTGGGTTAGAACGGCTTCCATCTGAACCTTCCAGATAGAAAAGCTAATTTTCCCGTCGAACTTCTCGATATCGAACTTAGTAACAGTCGACATCTTTGAAAATAATTCTCAAATAAACCGCTCTGATACCACTTGTTAGGAATATAGCGGAATAATGCGGAAGCGAACGAATCGAAAATTGAGAATTATAGAAGTATAATAATAGGGAAAATATAATTAATGACAAAAAGAATTAATAAGAATGGGAAAATATAAATATATATATATATTACTATCCAGAATGAACATAATATATATATATATATATAAGTATGCTAGTGAGAAAGAAAGAATGAATATAATATATATTGAATTGATGTACATTTGAATTACAAAGTGACTAAGCTATTTATACTAAGAGTATTGCGCATGTGATGGGAGCAGTGATGGAGCTACGTGAATGTTGGAGCACAATGAGGATAGCATGCAACGTGGATGGGAGGCGAGTGATGCATGATTTGAGCCACATATTCCAACAATATTATATAATATAAAAATTCTATGCACTCAATTCACGCGCGCGCACATACATATATTGTAGAATATTGGTATTATTAAATTATTAGGTACAATCATGCTCTATATGTATACTATTTTTTTTTTTTTTTGATATTAGATACTATCAACATTGATATCAATTATCAACCGTACTAATACAACCAAATATACTTTAAATAAAAGTACGATTAACGGTGCACAATAGTTGGTTTAATAACTGAATTAATCGAAATTTTTTTAACATAATTATACATGACCAAAAAATTGATCGAAATAATGAATTTTTTATTTCAAAATTTCATAACTGATAATCAATTGTTACACACTCCTACACTTAAGAAGTACTCATCATGAACTCCTAACCAAGATAGTTATTAACCGATCCGAACCAAAAATTTCAGTTGATTTAGCTATAAGTCTTTGATTACACAAATTTCAATTCTCTCATGTACCCTTAATCCCGATTTAAAAATAAAAAAAATAAAAATCTTATATACTGATATACAAAAGGTTCACGAGAATAAAATTGGGTGGTTGGTAGCTTAAGGCGGGTTTGGAGGATTGTTGGAGTTGGGTGCACATACATTTCCAACGTACTATACACATGTGAGTATAAAGACAAGCAGAGCAGAGTATATGTGGCCATGGATGATTCCTCCCTCATCCATATATGCATTCTTAAATCTTTAATGCGTAATAATCTGATCTGTTTTGTTAGTTCTGCCATTCTGCTCGCCCCAGAGGAGAAGGAACGAAGCTAAGACACCTGCCACTCTTATATCAATACATGTGAGGTTTGCACATGTATGGGGGGTCCTATCTTCTATCTTTTCATGTTGCCCTTCACATGCCATTTGTTTTCTTATATATATGACAATTATACCCCGTAGTTTGTTCCAATGTAGAGTAGTGGTGGGGAAAGTAACTAAAATGGAAAGAATTGGAGTGGGATGAATGAACAAAAATGGAAGATGGTGATGGTGAAAATTGGATTGAGGATGAGGACTTGCATGTGTCTTTGCATGTTATGTACAAATTAAGATAGTAGAGATAAGGCTGGAATTGGGTTCAGGTGAGGATCTGCTTAACGTGAGACCGTGCGAATAATTGTATAAGTGCACAAATTTTATTACATGAATGCACACTAACTACTTCTAGGCATGCATGCCTGGATGACGAAGGAGATCAGACCCTAGAAGTAGTTAATTAGTGTGTGCATTCATGTTGTAAATTGTAAATTGTCCGTACACATATAGTTCTCATGATCTCTCGTTAAGCATGGTTCTCATTTGAAATCATGGTTGCAATAGGCGCTAGGCGCTAGTCGGGCGGTAGAGTAGCGCCTAGCGCCTAGACGGCCTAGGCGGCTAACTGAAAAAATGGAAAATAGTGCACGTCTGTAGGTGCATATATGTCATATCATTCATACATACATACATACATACATACATATATATATATATGTGTGTGTGTGTGTGTCATATAAATCAAAAAAAATTAGCAAGGTCGAGTCAGCCGGGTTAACTCGGCTAACTCGGCAGAAATTGACGAGTTAACTCGGCGTAATCGGCCGAGTTAGGCGCTAGGCGGGCGCCTAGGCGGTCGGTTTCCTAGGCAGGAGCCTAGGGAGGAAATCGCCACGGCCTAGGGGCGCCTAGCGCCTAGGCGCTGATTACTCGGTGCCTAGACGGGATTTTTGCAACCCTGTTTGAAATACAATTTTGAACACAACTCGTAGATATAATAATGGGTGGAAAGTGGAAGTTTCTTATTATTTATATTTGAGTACAATAGACGTCTAACTAACCAACTATGTGAGCAATTAAAAATTCAGGGTGAGAATGGGATTACATTTAATATTTTTCTAAAAAAGAAAAAAAAATAATAATAAGGGCAGGGAGGGTGTAAATGTCATTTAGGGGATTCGAAATGTTGCTTTCAGAGAGGAACTGATCAGATCATGAGTGACCTGTCTTTCCATGCATGCAAACGATCAAGAAAGTGGCACATAGAATATTGTTTTATATTTTCCTCTTGAGTGGTTTTGGCAGTTAAGTTTATCCATCAAAACTGCCTATAAATTAAATCCACTACTTTTCTCTACTCTCCAAATTCAATACAATACTCTCATACTCTCGAAGCAACATGGAAACCATGAAGCATTATTGCCTTGCCCTTGTCTTTCTTGTGATCATGATATTTGCTCCCCTCTTTGATTGCCATGTAATATAAATTCTTTTCTTTAAACTTTAAGCCATATTATACATACATATATTTTGCTGGTGTTCGTTTATATACTGTACTGATTTTAATTTGGTTGTCACCTTCAGAACATCATCTCAGAATCCCCAGCTCCTCAACCCTCACCCGGTTTCCATATGGTGAGATGATGATCATATTTGCTTATATTTATGTGTGTATATATGGAATATGGAGCTTTAATTTGCTTCCTTTTCTTTCTATATATCATCATGATATGATCTAATTAACCAAAATAGTAAGCTTAATTATTTTGTGTATTGGGTTTTTCTTTCTTGCAGTATGGCTCAACACCTGGTAGCCTCCACCCTCAAGGTAAATTAAAATAGCAGAGTATAAGTATAGTTAATTAAAATGAATTTTTTTTGGGGTGATGAATTGATACGAGAATTATGTTGCACCCACTCAGTCACCCTTTTTAGTGCAGGTCAAACTGAGTTACAATATTTCTTATACATTATCAATGAATTAAGTGTTTCTCAAAAAAAAAAAAGTTTTTTTTTTTTTAAGTGACGAGAGAAACTTGCAGTCTGTGCACTGAAAAATTTCGCATTGCGATCCTAATCGGTAAAAGATCACAAGAAGATGTGTATTTGCACTGATATATAGATATATGTGTATAAATTTGCAGAGTGTTTGCCGAAGTGCACGTACAGGTGTTCAAATACGCAGTACAGGAAGCCATGCATGTTCTTTTGCCAAAAGTGTTGTGCCAAGTGCTTGTGCGTTCCACCTGGGACCTACGGCAACAAGCAGTTCTGCCCTTGCTACAATAACTGGAAGACTAAGAGGGGTGGCCCCAAGTGTCCTTAGCTTAATAAATCACATTATTATTATTAATTATTTTCCTTAATCAACACCGGAGTATGTAATTAGTGTAATTCTGTCGTATATTTTCCTATAGCTTACGTTATTCCCAATATGGTGCTAGCCTCTTGTTGTTACATGGTCCTTTGAGGTTTGTTCGTTTGGACAATTTCTTGGATTGGATTTGTATTGCGAATCCACATGATAGATGTACCATATGAATGAAATTCAAGCGTGTTATTCTTGCTGTGGGTAATAAATCGCAAACTACTCATAAGAGTGTCTAGAAGATATGATGTCACGGACTTAACTACGAGAGGACCTGGCAGTGCTCTAGTGGTTGGAGTGTTGCACTATAGACTCACTTACAGCGACATGGTGGAAATTCAAACCCCGACCCACCTTAGACAATTTGGAGTTAGGCTCCCCATGATGAATGCTAAAGTTGGGCTCCCCAAGTTGAGTTGGGGTTTGGTTTGAACTCCTTGTGCTCAGAGGTGTACATTTAGGTGTGAGTCTCAACACTGACTAGATATGTTTAATTTATCTCTTTAAAGATCTAGGGACGGATTCATGTAGTACAAGATATAGTTCAGGGTGAAATTAAAAATCTTGAATTACAAATAAAAAAAATCAAACTTATAATATTTTAATACTCAAATCATGTTTTAGACACTCGAATAATTCTAACTCGTTTAAAAGAATACAAGATGGAGTATGCAAGTACAGTAAATTAAAACAGGGCGCAGGGAAGAGGCAGATTAGTACAATAAATAATGCATAGAATTTTGTCGTAAATGGTGTTGTTTGATAGTCGTGAGATCAGATAGCTAATTCATGCAATTTCGTCATTGTCTGCGGAATCTTGTGATCCTTGTCGCTATATGACATGAGAGTCAGGTCCAGCGAGACGACGAAGTCGAAGTGGCTCTGAGGGACTTGACGGTATTTGCGACGTTTATAGAATCGTCAAATGTCCAAGAGGATAATCCATCACACTCGGACATTCTTTAAAATGGACCAGGCCCAAAAAAGTGTCTGGCCTATTTATTCAGGCAAGCTCTCAATTCTCGATCATTATTGCGTGGACCATGGTCCACACAATAATTTGCCTTCAACAATAGTTATGTTGTGCAACCGTGTGCACACGGTTGCAAAACGACGTCGTTTTGATTAAAAATGTGCGTTCCATTTATAAAAAAAAATCAGTTTCGATTCCCCTCAACAGTATTATGTTATTCATTCATTGTGGATATTTAGTTCATTCATTTTGGATTTTGTGTTATTCATTCACTGTGGATTTATAGTTGTAAATTTGTGGATATATAATTCAAATTATGCACAAAAAAATGCTATTGCGGGAATCAAACCTGATTTTTTTTTTTTTTTTTAAAAGTTGGACGCGCGTTTTTAGTCAAAACGACGTCATTTTTGCAACCGTGTGCAATATACATGGTGCACATAGTTGCACAACATAATTTGCGGATGAATACTCATTTTAAATATACTAATTAAGGCATATTTTGATTCAAGAAATCTTGAATTACTCTAAATATACTAAATGTTTATTTTTAATGTTTTAAAAGTGCTACCTAAACATAAATGTTTCTCTTTTTTTTTTTTTTTCTTTTTTTTTTTTGTGAAAAAGACGAAAGTATTCATTAATTCAAATCATCCAAAGAAATAACATCCAACAATGTCGGGAATGTGGCATAACTCCACTTGGCACAACTTGTCTTAGAAATAATATCTTTTGCTAATTATATGAATTGTCATATTCGCAGGCCGTATTGCAAATAAAAATCTAATGTTTACAAATAACTTAACTATTTCTTTTATATCTATCAAAATAAGATCAATAGTTGAAATCTTGGAATGATTCTTCAATCATTCCACCACCCATTTAGCATCAAACTACTCCACTTGAATATTATTGAATCAAGAGTTAAAAAGCTAATAAACATTTATTAGTGATCCACAATATAATTTAGCTACCCAAATTGCATTTAGTTATTGCATGGAAATGTTTCTCTGTTCCTTTATTCATGAATTGAATCACATTCACACACTCACTTCATTCACCTAACTTTTTTGTTGGTAGACTAATGTCGCATGTATATATATATCACACTATAATTTATAGTTTTGGTAATTCAACCACTATTTTCACATGCTGATCGAATTACATATTTATATATATTATTCCATTATTTTAGCATATCATTTTCAAAAATCTTATGACAAGTGTGTACCTTTTTATATTTTGATTATTTGTAAATTAGTTTTATATAGGTATTAATTAATTCAGTGTACTTCTTGAAGGCAACCACAACCAAATTGATCGGATAGTTAATTTGGTAACAACAATATTTCAAGTTTAACTGTCTAAATTATTTTTTATGCCAAAAAATCGCCCACACGAATTACAAAGTCACCAGAGTCCATGAATCATTATAGAAATTTTAAGGATACAATACAAGAAAAGTAGAACTAATCAAATACGCATAATACATAATACATATATAAAATATGCATATACTAATTAATTGGTTCATTTTCCTTTAATTCCCGGGTTGCCCCCTGATCTTTCTGCGCCTTCTGAAGGAGAAACAGCCTTGAGAGGTTTGGTGCTGACGATAATTGCACCTTTAGCCTGCTCTGCATTATTTACATTACTGACCTTCTTGGACTTGATCAAGGACACCTGAGTAGGGGCTTGATTGTCTTTTCCCACTGGCTTTTGTGCTAGAGGGTAGAGGAAATCTGTAGGGAAGAAATTGTATTGCAGACCAGCCATGAGAATTTTGTTGGGTGGAAAATTTTTTGTGCTCTTGATGCCCTTCTCTGTATGTTTTCTGGTAGTTTTGGCTTACTTATAGAGGCATAGAGGGTTAGAAATGTCTTTTCATTGTTGCTGCATGCAGTCTCAACTTCTGCTTCTCAAGTGTGGTAGCTGCAACTAACAAAACTGATAAAAACGTGCCTTGATTTTGGGATTTATTATTATTATTATTATTATTATTATTATTATTATTATTATTATTATTATTATTATTATTATTATTATTATTATTATTGTTGTTGTTGTTGTTGTTGTTGTTGTTGTTGTTGTTATTATTATAATGCTTAATAATTATATATTGTATTCCTAAATTACTATAATATAATGTTCAGACATGTTTATAATAATGTTTGGGGTTCAACCTTTATTGGAATAATGTTTATAATAATGTGATTTTTTCAAATATTCTTTGATTTTTTTTTTTTATCAAAAGTAAAAATAGGAGTGCATGTAACAAGATATATTCTGAAATATATGAAAGTTACTAAAACAGTTCACCTTTTAGAGTTTTAGAAAAATGTACATAACTAGCAATGCACTCAGTGACTCAGGTTCCTTTTTTTTTTTTTTTTTTTTTTTTGTACAGATGTTTAGCACTCTATAGTGTTGCTAAGTCCACTACTTTACATTTTAAGTTAATTACAAAAATGTCATCACGTTTTATTATAACTATTTTAAATCTTTTAGATATTTTAATGAGTTTATTACCGAAATGGTCCCTCAACTATTGTGAAATTATCAATTTAGTCCTTGACTATTTTTCTTACCCAATTAAGTCCTCAACTTTGAAAATGTTAACCATTTTGGTCATCCGTTAAAATTTCATCCATAAACTGTTAAATTTAAGGATAAAGAGGTAATTTCATATATCTTATTTATTAAAACTTTTCTTCTTCCTAATCTTTCCACTCCCTTCATCGATGCCTGGTTTAGTCTTTCCACTCCCTTCATCGATGCCTGGTTTAGACGATTGGGATCATCCTTTCACTGATCTAGAGCTCCTAGATACCGAAGCCGCTTTTCAATCTGCCACCAACAAGCGCAACGATTTCGATAAGTCGTCTGCTCCCGTTGCTGAAGATTAGGTTAACGCGATGGAAATAAATTTCATCGGAACCGTTGAATGGAAACCCACTTTCAAAAGAGGTAGGTATACAGCTCTCCATCTTCCCTGCAACTTTTTTTTTTTTTCTGACGTTGGTAACAGTTAGCAAGAACATGACCATCCTCCAAGAAAACAGAAGCTCCAAAATCACTTCTTGACCTGCTTTTATTCTTAAGAGAATTCCTCATTTGATAGGCCTTCATCTTCAACATCCCAATTCTATTCTTCCTTTCCTCCTCTGAGATCTCAAACTCTGATTCATTTTCATTTCTTCGATCACTGCCATGTGATCCTTCAAGGCAAGGAACCGTAAATCGATCGAGCGCATCAGGCATTTCCATTCTGAGTCGAAAGATCCGCCGCAGCGTCGCCGATCTATAAACGCTTCGAAAAAAACTTCACTTCGTGATGATGGGAGTATTAGTCGCACGGAAGAATGAAGCAGCGGTGAGAGGAGAGGAGGATAAGTTTTCGTCCTCATTTTTATTAGATTAACTCTGCACTTTTTTTTGAAAAATAAAACAAAGAAAAAAAAAAAAAGAGAGGTAGGTATACAACACTTCCAGGCCTCATTGGAATCTGAAAATTTTGTTCCCAGAGCTTTACGTGGAAAGACGAAGAAGAAAGAAAATTTTTAATAAATAAGATAAATGAAATTACCTTTTTGTCTTTAACTTTAACAGTTTATGGATGGAAATTTTAACGGAGGACCAAAATGGTTAACATCTTCAAAGTCGAGGACTTAATTGAGTAAAAAATATTATCGAAGATCAAATTGGTAATTTTACAATAGTCAAGGGACCATTTTTGTAATAAACTCTATTTTAATTTTTAAATAGATAGTTTTGATCAGTTCATAATTTTTGTATGGGGGCCTATTGTCTAGGAGTGTGCATATATATATATATATATATATATATATATATATATATATATATATATATATATGTGTGTGTGTGTGTGTGTGTGTGTGTGTGTGTGTGTGTGTGTGTGTGTGTGTGTGTGTGAGAGATAAACAATTTATATTGTTATTGTGCATATGCTTTTTTGTCTTTAAAAAGCTATTTAAGTTTAATATTGTTCAATTATAAACATTTTGTAGGTTTTAGTGAGAACAATCTAATTCATTCATTTGGTAGATCAACAGTTTAGGTAAAGTTCTCTATTATTGATAAATATAAATATTTGATATGATTTGGGTTCAAATTATAACAAAGTCATCCTCCAAAATGTAAGGGCGAATTATAGTTGCATGTTAATTTACCCACATAAATGAATTAGATTGTTATTATCTGAACCCTAAAAATTGATTGAATAAGGTTAAAAT